TTTTTCTTTAAAAATAATTCTAACAAACGTGTCTATTTTCCCAACCAGAACAAATTAGGATTTTTCAGTTGGGAAAGAGGAAGTTTATTCAAGGCAGACATACAGACAGCATAACAGAGAAATAAAAAGTAGATGCAAAGGCGTCAATGTGGTTCACAATAGGCCTACACGCCGGTGACTCTGAATCATCAGGAGATTAAAATATGATTTATAATGCTCTGCTTCTACTCTTCAGTCAAGATAGTTTCCACCAAACATGCAATAAAAATATGTTATTTATAGGGTAGTAACTTGTGCACTGGAGCCCTAGTGGTGCACTGGTTAAGCGTTTGGCTGCTAACCAAAAGGTCAGCAGTTCAAATCCACCAGCAGCTCCTTGGAAACCCTATGGGGCAGTTCTACTCTGTCCTATAGGGTCGCTATGAGTCGGAATCGACTGGACTGCAACAGTTAGATTTAAGGGTTAATTTGTATACCAGCCATTGAAAACCTTATTGGGCACAGTTTTACTCTGACCATGAATGGTAACCAAGTCGTCTGCAACTGGTTTGGTTTTGGTTAATTTATGCACATAAATGGGAAAAATCTGTTATTTTTGGTTACCGTCCAAAATATAAATCTCTCTGGTCATCTCACGCTGGACCTTTTTAGCACTGGGGCTTTGGAGGCCCAAGGCCAAGATCCTATAGGCCTTTAAGGAGACTACAAAAAAAAAAAATTAATCTATGGCTTCAAAATCAAAGTTAACAAATGCTTAACTAAACATCTACCAAGCATAACATTTTGCCAACTTTATTAATTGCTAAATGTGGCATTCATCAAATATTAACAATACACAAGAACAATCTGTAGGTCTGATTTTCTCACTGCATAAGAATTACTTATATATATGACAATTATACAAAAATCATGGTAACGTAAATTAATCGAGGTACTCACAACCAAACAATTTTAAAAGCAGTATTATGAAACTCCCTTCAAAACATTTTACAATAAAATGTCTCCACTAGTAAAGGCTGAACATGGTGAACTTAATTATTATCACTTAATCCAAACCACACCCGTTGCCATAGAGTCGATTCCAACTCATAGCAACCCTATATGACAGCAGAACTGCCCTATAGGGTTTCCAAAGAGTGGCTGGTAGATATCACTTAATAGTACAAGTAAAACTGGTTGAAATGGCAAAGATTTTGTTATATATGTTTTATCACAATAAAAAAAAAACCCTTGAGGAGAATGAAGAGAACAGGATACAAGGAAAAGATTAGTCTGAAGGACTAATTGTCCACAGCTACCAAGGCCTCCACCGGACTGAGTCCAGTCCAGCTAGATGGTGCCCGGCTACCACCACTGGCTGCTCTGACCAGGATCACCACAGAGGGTTCTGGACAGAGCTGGAGAAGGATGTAGAGCATAATTCTAACTCACAAAAAAAAAAGACCAGATTTACTGGCCTAAAGGAGACTGGAGAAACCCCGAGAGTATGGCCCCCAGACACCCTCTTAGCTCAGTGGTGAAGTTATCTCTGAGGTTCACCGTTCAGTCTAGGAGTGGACAGCCCCGTAAAACCAAATGAGACTAACGAGGTACAGGAGTCCAGGGACAAGTGCCAGAAGGCAGAAGGGGACAAGGAAGCTGATGATAGGGAACCCAAGGTTGGGTAAGGATATTGTTGATGTGTTGTGAGATTGTTAACCATTGTCACAGGGCAACATTTGTAGTAAATGAGAAACTATTTTGTTCTGTAAGTCTTCATCTTAAGTGAGAATAACAGCACAATTGGAAGAGCGTAGTCAATGTCACTGAACTGTGCATGTAGAAATTTCTGAAATGGTGTATCTTTGGCTATGTATATTTTCACCAAAAAAAAAGGTTAAGAAGTTCGAGGGTTGACATGTTGTGGGTTGTTAACCAATGTCATAAAACAACATGTGTACTACTGTTTCATGAGAAACTATCTGTTCTGTAAGCCTTCACCTGAAGTACAATTAAAAAAACAAAAAAAAAAACCCTTGACTACAACTGCGGGCTGTGATGCATGTAATATGTTTGCTATGATGTGAGGGGGATGGAAGACTGCTGCCAGGCCAACACCATCTTACTGACGACTTGGCTTCCCTCCGGTCAAACTGTCCCTCTGCACCATTTCTAACTCCAGAACCAAACCCAACCCATTGCCATCGAGTCCATTCCTGGAAAATCCACTCCTCTTCATCCTTAACCTAGCACAGAGTGCTCCCTCTGTTTCCCTGCCAAGAGTGCCCCAGCACCCTTCATGGTGGAGGCAGGACCTCTCCCACACCAGCCCTGGGCTGAGAAATGCAATCAGGTCCCTCCTCACCTGGCTTCCAGGCCCCCCCACCCCCACTCTGGTGTACAAATCTCTGCTCCTTCAAGACCCAGGCCATCCCACTTTCTCATCGTCTACCTCACTTGTAGCTGTCACCTCCTGATCATTCTTGCTTATTCACTAAAAATTTTGGCACCTGTTTCCTTTCTACTCACTCCAAATCCTGACAACGTCCTGTCCTTTCACTTACAAAACATCTGTATCCACACTCAACCTCACCGCCTTTCTTCCTATCCCAATGGAAGAGGTTTTTCACCACCTGTTCTAGTTAATCCCTAAAGCTAATTGAGCCTTGCTCTTGCTCTCCACCCCTCCCACGCCCTGAATAATTCACTCACTCAACTCAATCAGCCCCTCTACTCCCAAGCCTTCTCAACACTGCCTATCATCATTTTAGTAATTTTTTTAAATTGAGATAATTCACATACCATAAATCCACCCTTTTAAAATGTACAAATCAGTCTCTATCACTTTATCCGTAAGGTTGTGCAACCATCACCACCACCTATTCCAGAACATTTTCATCACCCAAATAAGTAACTTCAGCAGTCACTCCCTGCTCCCCCAGCCCCTGGCAGCCACTGATATACTTTCTGTTTCCATGGATTTGCCTATTCTGGACATTTCACATACATCGAATCATACAATATGTGGTCTTTTGTGTTAGGCTTCTTTCACTTAGCATAGTATATTCAAGGTTCATCCATGTTGTAGCATGCATCAGCACTTCACTCCTTTTCACAGCTGAATGATATTCCATTATATGGATAGACCATGTTTTTATCCATTCATCAGTTGACAGACACTTGGATTCTTTCTACTTTTTGGCTGTTATGAATAATACTGTAATGAACATTCATGAACAGGTTTTTGTGTCAACTTGTTTCCAATTCTCTTGGGTATTCCTAGGAGTGGGATTGCTGAGTCACATGGTAACTTAACATTTTGAGGAACTGCGAAACTGCACTGTTTTACATTCCCACCAGCAATGTATGAGGATTCCCATTTCTCCACATCCTGGTCAACATTTATCGTTGTTGATCTTTTTGATAATAGCCATTTTAGTGGGTGTAAAGTGGTATTTCATTGTGGTTTTCCCATCTGCACTTTCCCTAATGACTAATAATGGTGAGCATCTTTTCATGTGCTTATTGGCCACTGTGTATCTTCTTTGGAGAAATGTCTACTGCATTCAGATCCTCTGCCCATTTTTAAACTGGGTTGTCTATTTAATACTAGGTTGTCTATCGCCTTTGAAAGATGCTCAAGTCTCTACCATTTCAAAGCAAACAAACCCTTGGTCAACTCCAGATCACTGCGGCAGCCACTACCTTTCTTTATCCCCTTTTCTAGCAGAATTTCTTGAAAGAGTTCTCTATACTTGCTGTTTCCACCCACTCATTTTTCAAGCTGTTGCAATCTGGCTCCTGAACCCAGCACTTCATTGAAACTGCTCTGGGCAAGGTCATCAGTGGCTGTGTTGTTACTAAATCCAGTGGATGTTTTCAATTCTTAGATTTGATTGCTCTAAAGTATTAACACTGAGGCCCTCCCCATCTTTATGGAAAGGCGGCTCAGTGACCTGATCTCACATTCTCCTGAGTTTTCTCATTCGTCTCTGACTGCTCCTTCTCAGTTTTCCTGGTGCACTGCTCTTATTCTGCTGTTTCTTAAATCCTGATCTTTTTCCAGATTTTGTCCTCAGTCCTCTTTTCCATCCTTACCTGGTCTCACTGGGCAACACCACCTTCATTCCTCTGGCTTCAATTACCACTTAACACTGCTTATCCCTAAATCTAATGTCTATCTCTCCTGCCTAGACGTCCCTCCTGGGTTCCTGGTATGTATATCTGTCTAGTCATCATCTCTACTTGGACTGCCATCCCATCACCAAACTTTCTCTGTCCTAACCCAAACGTTTTATCTTCAGACCTCCATTCTTCACTAACTCAGCTCATGCCATCAATTCCTGAATTCTGTTTTAAATCGTTAGAGTCACTCACACTTGTCTCCTTCTATCCTTGCTGCCTATGCCCTGGACCAAGCCAGTACCACTTCCTAACAAGATAACCACAGCATCCTCCTGATTGGTTTTCCAGCTCCATCCTCTTCAAATTGTAGCCAGAGAGATCTTTCTAAATTGCAAACCTCCCCATGTCATCCCCTCCTGACATAAACGACTGCAAGAGACAGTAAGGTTTACAGCAGCTGGAACCAGATACACTTGGCTTTGAATCATAACACTACTGACTTATTGGCTGTAAGACTGTAGGGGTGTTATTTAACTTCTCTATGCCTTAGTTTTTTCATCTGAAAAAAAAAAAAAGTACTCAGCCTTCATGAGGATTAAGATGATATTTCAGAATCAGCACATTTTAAGTCCTCAGTGGATTTCGGCGATTTTTTTTTATTAAAGCATTTCAAGTGGGGCAAATCAATTACCCTCACTTTCATTCTAAAATGTGGTGATTAAATGGAACGACTTTAATATTAAACTCTTTTTAAGCCAAGATTCCTTTAGACACTGAAGCCTGGTGCTCAACTGCAGCTGCACTCTGCGCTAGTCACACAGTTTCAGCGTCCAAAAAAAGTACTCTGGTGAGGAGGCAGCAGTGGATGCATCTGGAATTCCGGAATAAGGACCCACAGGGGGAGAATCTGGGATTCTGGCTGGCAACTGCTGCCCCTCTCGAGGCGCGGCCGCTCTGCGGTGGGAGAGCGCTGACCACAGGCTTCTCCGCGCCCCGGCCGGACCTGTTACCCGGCGACCGTCGCGGCGCACCATCACCTAGAAGCCAGGCGCACCTGACCCGCGGCCACAAACACCTTAGCCTTTCGGGCAGAGCCAAAAGAACCAAACCACAAACGCGCGGACCCACGTCGGCCCCACCGCGCCCTCCTTTCCCTCGCCGCCCCCACTCCACCGTGCGGCGCCTCCGGGCGGTCATGCAGTGCGGACCCCACCGCCGCGGGTCGGCCGCCTGGCCTGGGACACCCCTCCCGGTCCCCGCGGCGCTCACCTTGAAGGACATCCTGCACATGACCGCGGCAGTCCCTCCCCTGCCGCCGCCCCAGCGGGACCCGGCACGCTTCCGGCCTGGGAGCGCCCTCTCCTTCCCTCCCCGCCCCTCCTCGCAGGTTCCGCAGAGGGGCGGCTCCGCGCGCCGCGCGCTCCCGCCGCGGGCCCAGCCGCCGTCGCCGCAGACTGGCCCGGGCGGCCCCGCGCTGGGGCGGGGCGGGCGTGCGCGCCTCGTGTGCCGACCCCGCGGGGGCGTCAGCGTGCCCCGCGACACACGAGGTGTTGTGTCAACAATTCACACGCCATGTACAGATGCCCGCTGTCCACATGCCAGCTACACACACACACACACACACACACACACACACACATCCTCCAAAAGAGCCTGGTCTGCCTCAGATGCCTCTCAACCTTCATTATAGCACAAATATTATAAGACTGTAAATAAAAAATGAGAGAAAAATTCACACATCATCCTACCATCCTTTCAAATAGTAGTTTTCATTTTTGCATTTTCTATCTTTCTAGATTTTCTCCGCTGTTCTCTTCCTTTTTTAAGAATCTGATTTTTTCTCCTGGAGAAAAGATCTGGGAAGCAAACCTGTTTTTTTTTTTTTAATTTTTTCAATTGTACTTTAGATGAAGGTTTACAGAACATATAGTTTCTCATTAAATAGTACACATATTGTTTGATGACATTGGTTAAAAACCCCACGACATATCAGCTCTCTCCCTTCTCGACCTTGGGTTCCCTATTACTAGCTTTCCTGTCCCCTCTTGCCTTCTAGGCCTTGTCCCTGGGCTGTTGGCCCCGTTAGTCTTGTTTTGTTTTATGGGCCTGTCTAATCTTTGGTTGAAGGGTGAACCTTGGGATGACTTCATTACTGAGCTAAAAGAAGGTCCGGGAGCCATACTCTTGCGGTTTCTCCAGTGTCTGCCAGGCCAGTAAATCTGGTCTTTTTTGTGAGTTAGAATTTTGTTCCACATTTTTCTCCAGCTCTGACCCTCTGTTGTGATCCCTGTCAGAGCAGTCAGTAGTGGTGGCCTGGCACCATCTAGTTGTACTGGACTCATTCTGGTGGAGGCCGTGGTAGTTGTGGTCCATTAGTCCTTTGGACTAATCATTCCCTTGTATCTTGTTTTCTTCATTCTGCCTTTCTCCCGAAGAGGGTGAGACCAGTGGAATATCTTAGATGGCTGCCCACAGGCTTTTAAGACCCCAGATGCTGCTCACCAAGGTAGAATGTAGAACATTTTCTTTATAAACTATGTTATGTCAGCTGAGCTAGATGTTCCCTGAGACCATGGTCCCCACAGCCCTCAGCCTAGCAATTCGGTTCCTCGGAGAGTTTGGATGTGTTTATGGAGCTTCCATGACCTTGCTTTGGGGAAGCAAATCTTTTGATTGCATGAGTGATAAGTAAGATTTTCCTTTTCGAAAGTGAAGGGCAAAATTTAAAATACAATCATATCCCTTCTCCTTTTGATGACATCAGTCACCTCTTGGTGTTAGGCTGCACACCTGGAGTATTTCAGGAGCCGTCCTCTTGCTCACACATACTACTGGCTACTTGCCCAGTGGTGGTTTGGGGCAAGTGAAAATGGGAGAGTATTAGTCTCCTAGAGTTGCAGCAAAATACGTGGCTTAAAGCAACAGAAATTTATTCTCTCATTGTTTTGAGGGCTAGAAGTCTGAATTCAGGTTGCTGGAAAGGTTTTGTTGCTCCTTGAGAAGCCTCTGTTGGAGGGTCTTTCCTTGTCTCGTCCAGCTTCTAGGAGCCCCAAGTGTTCCTTGGTTTGTGGCAGCATAACTCCAATCTCTGCCCCTGTCTTTACATAGCCATCTTCCCTCTGTGTCTCTCTGCATCTGGGTCTCTTCTCCTTTTCTTACAATGACACCAGTCATATTGGATTAGGGTCCAACCTACTCCAGGATGACCTCATGTTAACTAATTACATCTGAAAAGACTTTATTTCCAAATAAGGTTACGTCCACAGGTACTAGGGGCTAGAACTTGAACATATCTTTTTTGGAGACACAAATCAACCCATAAAAACAAAATACTGTTTTTAAAGTGTAAAAGGCAATAATAGCCTTTCTAGAAAATTCAAATGCTAAAGGAAAGTGGACATCTCACCCCTCACCATTCATTACCCCTCCCTCTGTTTGTGGTTCCTGCTCTCTTCTCAACTGAATTTACAATGAATAAGTTAAAAGTTAAAAACACAACTACAAATAAAAATTAATAATGAAAATAAAATATTTATCTTTTATGGATAAATTGTATTACTTTGTGTTTAAGATAATTTTTAAATAAAAACATTGCAAAATTTGATAGAAAATTCTAACTTTTAAATCAAGAAAGACAAAATTTTTTCCTTAACTTGAGTGTCTATGGATGAGCTAATTTTGAAGTTGGCACATGGTATTATTATACAAGATCAAGATCAGAGGTTTTGCTTTAACATTTTTGATAAACAAAAGGGGGAGGGGAGGAAAGAACTAATATTTTGAGTGCTTTCTATGTACCAAGTGCTTTTCTTACAAAAATCCTATGCAGTGGGTATTATGCCCATTCCACAGATGAAAGAAATAAGGTTGTGAGAGATGAAGTAATTTCTAAAGAGTGATAGGGCTAGACTTTTTAATAAGTTTGTCTAACTCCAAAGCTTGTTTCCTTTCCACTACCACACTTGGTGTTCAAAATTATTTTTGGCAGTGAGTCTCTGGCCAGGCTGTCGATGGGTTCTTGTCAAAGCCACTGGAAAGAATGTGCCTGTACACCATCCCACATAAAACGCCTAAACTCTTCTGTATAAAAAAGCTCCCAAACAGAGCAAAACCCTCATGGTCATGGCCAGACAACTACTTCTCAAATAAACCACTCCCCACTGGGCCTAACATAAGAAATTAAACCCACACAGCCCACTCTCCCTCCTCAAATAATTTTTCACTACCCAACAAAGCCTCTCCATCTTTGCCAGAGGACTCTCCCTCCCATCCCAATGGTTCTCTTCTCTCATACGACTTGTCTGCCCTAACCCTTTCCCTTCCGCTTCCCTGCCCCCCACCTATCTCTTGCCCAACTTTGCTGAGCTCCTACCCCAACTCCACTCTGTACCACACCTAGGATCGGATTAAGCGGTAAACACGGTATGCACCAGTTTACAGTAAACAAGGTATGCACGGGCTTAACTGTGCTGATTTACTAATCTGTAGTGCACAGTTTCACCTGGCTTTCATCACATCTGAAGTCCAGGTGAAATTGTGCACTACAGATTAGTAAGTAAGCACAATTAAGCCCGTGCATATCTTGCTTAAATGTCTGGCTGCTAACTAAAAGGTCAGCAGTTGAAATCCACCAGCTGCTCCTTGGAAACCCTATGGGGCAGTTCTACTCTGTCCTACTGGGTTGCTATGAGTTGGAATGGACTCAAGGGCAACAAGTTTGGTTTTTGGTTTTATACCTTGCTTATTGGGTAATCCATCCCTGACCACACCTCTTAGCCCTTGATCCCACATGGTCTGGTATTCCTCATGACTTCTGTTACTTTTGGCCCTTCCATTAGAGTTTAAATTCTTCAAGCCTGGACCTTCTGTGGCTGGAGATACAGTAGATGGTCAAAACTTACTAACTGTTGATTTATTGAAAGATTCAAGGGATTGTGTTTCCCACATCTGCAGCCAGAAGGCTCGCCACTCTTATTCACAGACATACACTACTCAGATGCATAGACATCTGTGCTAATCTCTAATGATAACATATTCACTGCTGTCTTCTGTTCATACCAGCACAGAAAGCGGCTCTGACAGTAACGTGTTGGCCTCGATGTTGCACTGCCCCAGTTTATGTTCTAGCAGGGCTTGTCCCAGACAGAATTGTGAAGTAGGTCAGGGTGGTCTACCGAGCCCTCTTCCTCCCCTTTTTGTCATCAGGTCCCTTCACCCCAACTAAGATCCTTGCTGGACATCTTGTTTGTCTATATTCCCACCCCAAATCCCCAGCTGATTTATGTAAGCTCTCATTGGCTATTGGAATTTACACTAGATGAAGCTCCATGGAGTGGGAGTGTGGCAGACACAGTGTTGATTAATCTATCCCAGCAACCATTGCCCTCCTCCTTTTCCCTGCCAGAACACCACTTTTGCTCAGGTAGCTACCATACTCCACCTGGCAATGAACTTCAGGGGAGCCCAGCCCCCTCTTCTGTCCAAGGCTTTCTGGTTGAAGGTGATTTTAAGGAATTCCCTTCATATAGGCTGACAACGTAACATCAGCAGAATTCAGAAAAACTCAAAATAGGGCAGTTTCGGTTTAGCATCTGTGGGGCTGGCTTATAGAAAAATTCATAGGCTACCGACTCTTACATCATCCTCTATAAATACTGTTTCTCTTAAGGCACTGAAGGGCTCAGAGTTTGAAGTTTGAGGTTCATTCTCCAGCAGGTAACTGGAGCACAGCTTGCTTAAAAGTGAAGTCAAATCGTGAAAACACTCAGTAGAACTGGGAATGGGATGACACTCCCCTATTATAAAAGTTAAGGAGCCTGACATTAGCTTAAACAGGAGACCACCCACCTAGCCAGGAAGTAGAGCCCAAAAAAAACCCAAGGCAGGATGCTCCTGAGCCCTAGCAGATACAGAGTGCTTGACTACAGGACATCGAGTGACCATGTGGCCATAACGTCTCATCATGAGCTGGGTTCTATCATAAGGTTAGGTGGGCCCAGCAACAATCCATCATAAGATAGAAGTGGTACATCTGGGATCAAATATGAGCAGGATTGGAGGACCCATAAAAGCCTTCATGAGCAGATAGTGCAGACCTGCATGTCATCCTCCACTTTTATACCAGCAACTCTCGCTCAGCTTGTATCTGTTGTTGTGTGAGCAATTCCTCAGAGCAAGCTGATGGAGAAGGGAAAAGC